GTTGTGAATGTTTGCCCGAATATCTGGGTACTGCAGCCCAGCCAGCTTAACACATAAAATTAACCATCACAGACCAGGGTGGTGGCAATGGAGATAGAGAAATTGTCCTATTCTGGATATATTGTAAAGATAGAGCATACAAGATTTTCTGAAAGTGGGAAAGAGAGAGAAGAGTCAAGGGTGACTTGAAGGTCTTTGTCTTACACAGCTGTAAAAATGGAGTTGCTGTTATCAGAGATGGGGGAAGCCATAGAGTAGCAGAGGGTTTGTGGGGAGAAAGGGGGTGATACCAGGCTTGTCATCACCAGGTGTCATGTTAAGACTGACATACTTTTCAGACATCCAGTTTTAGATGTTGGGTAGGCAGTTTGAGTGCACAGATCTGGAGTCTCCAGGAGAGTTCTGAACATAAACGTGTTGATAAAAGTTGTAATTAAGTAGATAAGGAAAGAAGTAATTTGGGCACCCCAGTGAATCTGTGTTGGTAACAGAAAACTAGGGAGACCTTAAGGAAAATTACCCAACTCTTATCTAAGGAATAAGATCTAAGATGGAGGGGGGTGGAATATCCATCTTTTATTGAATATTTGCTATGTGCCAGACAGAGGGAAAGTTTACAAACATTGTAGTTCACTGTTATCTTCACAGCAACTCTGTGGGTAGTTACTATTGCCATTCTATAGATGACGAATCAACTCAAAGAGATTAGACAAGTAAAAGATGAGATGGGGATTCAAACTCATACTTACCTGATTTCAAAGCTCATATGCTTTCAACCAGTATGCTTCATGTGTTCGAAAGAGCGCTGGAATTAATGCTAGAGCACTTGTAGCTCCACTCCGATCTTGACGTATCATGTAACAGTCCATTCCTGTAAAGCAGTGAGATTGGGAATGACCTCATGGGCTGTGCCATCTCAGTCATGGCCATCACCATCATCCATTCTGCACAGCACAGATCCTGATTGTGGTTTAAATTTACATGTGTGGATTCTTGTTTAGTGTTTATCAACTCTGTGTGGTCAGGGGCTTGTTTATTTTACATTATTACCCCCAGTGCTTAGCACACTGCCTCTAATAGGAACTCAGTAAATATTTATTAAATAACTGAGTGAATGAGTAAATGACATTTGAGTAACCCTGAGGGTGAAGGTATTCTCCTTTAAACTAGGTCCTCTCCCTGAGGTTTTCTCCTAACTCTGTCACTGTTTACTTTATGCTCTGCGTATAGTGAACTATAAGAGGACTTGAATTCTAATCCTGGCTCTACCGCTTATTAACCATTGATGAATGAATTCATATTTTTCAACAAATATATATTAACTCCCTACTATGAGTTAGGCACTGAGCTAGTCACTGAGGATTTAGGAGTGAAGATGAGCATGGATTGGTTCTTTTCTTGAGTTTAAAATATAGAGAAAAAGATGAATAGTTAAATATTTGCATGAATAATTATTTACTTACAACTATGAACTTGATAAATAGTAAATCTTTAACCTTTCTGAGCTTGTTTCCTCATCTATAAAGTGATAACTTGTCTGTCTTATTTTGTTAAAAGGATCAAATGACCATGCTGCTTAAGCAGTTTGTCAGACTAGACAACTTGAAAACCTGAGGCAGAACTACAAAACATCTAAAACTTCTGTTTAAAATATTATGAAATCCTTTTAAATGCATTGTTGACTTCACTAGAACATAAGAGAATTTCCAGGACCTAGAAACAAAGAGGGAACTGAACACCAGAGGGCATACATAAATTGCACGATGCTGAGGATTCTCAAGGTAGAGGGTACCAGAGATAGAGGCAGGGTTTGCCAGTCTTTGAAACCAGAGATTTTAACAGCCTTGAGAGGATATGAGAGTAGACCTAGCATGATGAATTAGAATCAGGATGCTTCCCGAAGTACACGTATACACACACACACAAACACACACAAGATACTGTGTGACTTACATTCTTTTGAATAGATTTCATCATATTCTTGAATACTTAAATTGTTTTATATGAAAATACATTATTTAAAGGATTTGTGTAGTAATTGAATTTAGCCTTTATCAAGAAGAACTAGAACTCAGTTATTTTATGTTTCCTTTTGTAGTATTAAGGTTTTTAAAATATAGAAGATTTGCCTTTCATTTATCTGTGTGAATTTTAGGCAAAGAATACTGGTAATGGTCTCTGTAACTTAGCAGCTGTACTCCACAGTTTCAGAATAGTTTTCTTCATTCAACAACAGAAAATTTGAAATATGAAGCTAGTTTGATAGTGTATCATGCAGTACCACAGTGTCTTCTCCGTTCCTCAAAGCACTTTGCAGATAGTTTCTGGGAACAAGAAGAAATATTATTCCCTATGCATAACAAGAGAAACCAGTAAAGAGAATTGATGAAGGCCGTTAAGGATATCCAGTGTCAGAACTGCAATTTGATCTTGAAAGTTCTGCTTCATCTTAAGGTGTGGGAGGAGTAGGGCAGAATATCCAGAGTAACAAGAGATATTTAGACATGGGAGTCATTTTTTCTTAATAATGTAGCAGTAGCATATCAATGGTACAGAATTCTAGTGCTTCTTATATTTCTCAGTATAAGAAGTAGATCATATCAAGTAATTGATGGAACAAAACAATGGAACATCTTAAGCAGAAAGGAACTTTAGACAATATAATGTAATCTCCCTATCTTACAAATAACAGATAATTTTTTAATGTTTTTATTTTTAGATTTTTCTATAAATTACAAAAATTTTAGGATGCTTTAAGTGAGGTGAAGTGATTTGCACAGCTAGTAAGTGGTAGAGTCAAAGGGAGAACCCAGAGCCCATTGTCTTTTGTTCTGATAGAACTTATGTTTGAAACTCCAAGGGAGTTAGGCATTCTCTCAGCAGTTAGAAGCTTAGACTCTGGAGTCAGCACATCAGGGTTTACTACTGACTACATGAGTGATTTTTAGCAAGTTACTGATCCTCTGTAACCTTCAGTTTCCCTTTTGTAAAATGCTCATTCAAAAATTATTATTACTATCAACACCAACACCATTTTTACCTTAGAAATGATCTGTTATTTAATACTAGATTTTAGTTTTCGTCTTAGGAAAAAAACTCACTCAAAACATAGATTTGGGGGCTTTATTTGTACTATATGATACAACTCTTTCTAGTTATAGATGTGAACTTTATTTTTGCTTCAGAGAGTAAGTTTTTGTTGGGTAAATTATTTTTTTAGTTCAAAATCCTTCAGAAAGTTTGTAGATTTTTGTTTTTAATTATGCAGAATAGTGTCACGGAGGCTACAGAGCAACTGATGTTTTCATATACTACTGATAGGCATAAATTGGTATAACCCTGTAAAAGGGAGACAGTATCTTTGGCAGTCTTTCAAAATTATAAAAACTGCAAATGCTAATACCCTTGTATCCAACAATTCCGTTTTTCCCGTGTATAGAATTAGTATGTAAGAGCATAAAATAGCTATATGTCGTCATGATTTATAATAGTGAGAGATTGGAAGCAGCTGAAATACCCATTGAGAGGTGACTGGTTCAGCTAATTAGGGCACATCCACAAAATGGAATATTATGTGATAGTTCAAAAAGTGGAGAATTCTTTATATACTGATGTGTAAAGATCTGCAAGGTATATTATTGTGTAAAAAAATAGAAAAGTGTGTATGATATATATGCTGTGGCTGCCATCTATAAAAAAGGGAGATCGAATATTAATATTTGCTTATGAATGCATAAAGGACGTACAAAAACCAACAACAGTGATTGTGTGTGAGGAGAGGAACTAGGTAGCTACAGGACAGGGATCCAAGGAAGAGGTATATTCTCTTATTCATCTTGATTTTTTTTTAACTGTGTGCATATATTACCTACTCAAACTGTTAAAATTAAACCAAAGTCTTGATTTGGCTTGCTTGAGGCATGGTGGGTTTTTGTTTGTTTTTTTTTTTACTGAGGTAACCAATAATATTTTTCCTAAGCAATCTTCAATACTAGAATATATTACAAAGCCCTTAGCATGGCCTGAAAGAGTTCCTAGGATCTGACCTCTGACTGCCTTTCCTGGCTGGTTTCCTGGCATTCTCCCCCTTGCCGCATACAGTCACATTGACTTGTTTGTTCCTTGAATGAGCCAAACTGTTCTGCACTGCAGGCTTTTGTACTCCCTGTTCCTTTTGCCTGGAATACTTTCCCTCAGATGCTTATGTGGCTCATTTCCTTACTTCATACAGGTTTCTGTTCAGATGTAACCAGTTCAGCAAGGCCTTTCTTGACCATCTTATCTAAAATAGCACCCCCAAACTCCCTCTTGTCTTTTTGCCTTGCTTTGTTTTTCTTCATAGCACCAGTAGCTCCCTGTCTTTATATTATTTCTGTTTATCTTCCTCCCCACCCCTATCATGTGCAGGTATCAACTCCATGTTTTTATTTACTGTATCTCCAGTGCCTAGAATGTGTAGCACATAATAAGTGCTCATTTGTTGGATGAATGAATGACAGCTTTAGGGAGAGACCTTTTTCTCTTTCAGCCTCAATATTTCACACCTTTTATTAGGGCATTGGCATAACATGAATTCAGAGAAAAATCTGTGCTTGCTTGAGTGACTGGCTTCTCAGTGTACTCTGCAAGTAGATCAGGAGTGGGATTATTGAATGGCTCTTTCCCTTCATGCTGATCAGGCCCTCAGAGGATTAGATCAGCCTTAATCCCTGATTACTTAGCAGCCATTTTTCATAATCATTCCTGATAACCCAGTAATCATTTAATACTCAAGTACAGTCTCAAAAACTGTATGAGCATAGGCCTTTTCCAGCTTTCAGATGGATTAGTTAACAACAGCCCATTGTATTGACCGTTTTCTCTGCTTTTACCCTCTCCAGCATTTCTTACACTGAGGCAGTGGAGATCTTAAAGCAGGCATCCCAGAACTTCACCTTCTGCCCAGAGGTAGTACATACATACATATGTATGAAAATATGTATCTGTCTTGTATGTTTCTGATTTCATTAAGAATCCTTTAAAATAATCTTATTTCTTATTAGCAGTGTGTGGTATTTGCATATCTGTACATTGGCTTTTTTTTACGTTTGCTCTACTTCGTTGGAATATTTAGAATGAAAAATAATTTTGAAGCAGAATCATATTACTTGGAATAGCAGTAACAAAATGGTTGTAAAGAAGTTTCCCAGTGAAATTCCTTAGAAAGAATGGCAATCATAGAATATCAGTGTAGAAATCAACTAGTTCAGTGTTTCCCAAAGTGTATTCTAAATGATGTTAACAGGTGACAGACAAAAAAGGTTGTGTGATCAAATAAGTTTAGTCAACACATTAAACAGGTTTCTTTTTCTTTTGAACTTCACAGAACCTTCTAATTTGTAATCCACTTTGGAAACACTGAGTTTTGTGTGTGTGTGTGTGTGTGTGTGTGTTTTTTAGAGCTGTTTTATTTTATTTGGCAAGGATATAGATCTGGAAAGGCCCCATGATGTATCAGTGGGCCTGCACGTAACGTTAGAGGCAAGTCTCCTCATTTCTGTGCCAGTGCTTCTTTCCTATACTTAGTGCATTGCCAGACAAGTAGGAATAATAATATAATGTTAAGAATGTAATATCTTTGTCTTCAAACTGTTCCTTACACCAGTCCCATTCCTAATTAAGTCAGATGCTCTCTTAAGGTATGAGTGCCCTTTGCTTGTTATATTTATAATCAATTGATTTCTTTGTATAATTTTTAATTTAATGTTTATCTCCTACCCTGGAAGCCTTATGAAGTCAGGGGTTTCTAGTACCTAGCATGGTATCTAGAGTTTAATAGGCATATTAGTATTCGCTGAATAAATAGATGAACAGTATTATTAAATATTCATTAAGGAGCATCTGACATATGAGGGTTGACTCTTTTATCAAAAAAAAATTCAGAGAGAAACCATCTAGCCAAAGATAGACTCAATATTAGGAATGTTATCTTTCATCATTTGATTTCCTGAAACTTAGAAACAGTAACTGTAGAAGAAGCTCTAGGCAATATTAGTAAAAATTGTGATTCCAAAGCAGCTTTTATACACCATGGGAGGTGCACTGTGTTTTCCTGCAGATGTTGTTCATCTGCTAAATGCTGCTCCCTGAGATGGGCACAGAAACCATGGTGTTCATCTACTACTTTCAGCTTTCATCTTCGCAGGCCTTTGGATGTTCTTGTTAACACGTATCCCTCTCTAGTTTAGTTATCTGTGTAACCTCATCAGACAGCTCCACACATCCCTGATCCTCAGGGAGAGAAAGCCCTTGGCACTGATACAGGTTATTTTAGGTCCTGCATTGTATATTTCAGTTCTGTCTTCTCCTTTGGTAATTTCTTTTTTCTCATTACAGTGGGGTGCTGATCTACACACCGAACATGAAAAGTACCTGGTGAAGCACTGTGGCAACATGCCAGTCTTTGTCATTAATTATCCATTAAAGCTCAAGCCATTCTACATGAGGGATAATGAAGATAGTCCTCAGCACACAGTAAGAAAAGACACTAAACAAGTCGGAGTTAATCACCTCAGAGTCTGGGGTTTTTCCTTGATTCAGTTTCATTTGACGTGTTTTCTTAAATTATATCCTTCACTCTTTACATCTTTTAAAATGATAACATTTCTCAAAGGTACCTATAAAAATGTGTTCCCAAAGAAGATCCCAGTGTTCTATAAACACACTTCCTCATTTCTGTCACAGGATGTCCTCACTTGAGTGGATGCAAATGTAGATGTATCTTGTTTTTTAAATTTCTAGGAGCACTAGAGCACTGTATAGCAATGTGCCCAGTCTCCTATCACGCTGGATACTGATCCAGAGACTGCACGGGGTTGGAGGAAACGCTGGGCAAGAGATGATAGCAGTGGTATGATCGGACAGAGGAAGAGTTGGCTAGGCATAGCAGGCAGCTCCGAGTGCCCTGGCTGTCAAATGGAAATAGTTAGGGGAACCCTGTGGAGGGATCAAGGAGGTCTGGGCGGATTCTCCACTTGGTCAGTTCTCTTTGGACCATCTCTTCTCTGTCTGCCTGTGTTGTCTCTGTCTGTTGGTCTGCTGGCTTGCTTTAGCCTTTCTTACCCTCTCTTATTTCTTCACCCTCAGCTGCAGCTATTTTTTTATTCTTCTGGTTTCCTTCTCTTTTTTCCTCTTCTTGCCTTTACAAAATTGTCAGTAATATAAAATAAGAATATATTTGACTCTTTAAATATGTATTGAATAGTTATATATTTAATATCATTAATTGTAAAAGTCTGTGAAACAAATATATTATGTTTATCTCAAAAAAAGTTCACAAACCTAAACTTTTCTGTCTGGTGCTTTTCACTTGTCTCTAGATAAATACCAGTAGGAAAACACCTGTAGATCAGGACCTGCCAGTAAATAAAATGACCTTATCTGAGGTATACAAGGTTATCGCTTTGAATGTATTTTCTTTCTTCTCTTGTAGTATTACTGAAACAGTATTAGCCAAGTATGAGGCATACACAACCATCTCATTTCTAAGTCCCAAAACAACCTTGCCAAGAACTTTCTTTTTTCTCCCATTACATGGAAAACTGGATGCAAAGGGACTAATTGCATTTCCTGAGGCTACATGGGTAGTAAGTGACAGTTAGTATTCAAACCTCATTCCTTCTGGCTCTGAAGTCTGTGTTCTTTTCCACTCTATTGTGCTGCCTCAAAATCACCAATATAAAATTACATTTTAACTGCCAATTTTACTCATCCCCACCTTTCACACCAGCATTATCCAGAACCAGTGAGCAACACAATTAATTCATGATTCTTATTTTCTGTTTTCCCTACCAACCCTGTGGTGTAATTGATTATGAGAAGTGAATGGGCCCACAGGTGGGCAGCAAAAGAAAGTAAGAGTGACTAGGGCATAGATTATTCAATCCTAGGTAATTCAGTATTGAGCCTACATCACAAGACAGAGGACTGTGCCTGTATCTCTTAGCTTTTTTTTTTTATCACTTCACCCTATCCCACTTCCACCTCCCTCCCCCAGCACACACACACCCGTGTATTCCTCTCATGTAAATTCCCTAGATAGAGCACTTTTCGGTCATTCAGTTTTGCACTTCTTAAAAATACTCTGCTTGGGAGTAGAATGCCCGCTTAGCAAGCACAAGGTCCTGGGTTCAATCCCCAGTACCTCCGTTAAATAAATAAATAATTAAATACATACATACATATATACATAACCAACCAACCAACCAACCTAGTTACCTCCCCCGCCAAAAAAATTAAAAAAAAATATATATATATTCTGCTTAGGCTTTCCTTCTCTGTAAAGACTTCCCTAGGTTACCTAGTCACTTTGAGCCTTCCTTTTCTGGATTTCTATAGCATTTAAAGAACTGGTAAAAACTGATTGCATTGTGTCTGTATTTTGTGGTCTCTGTGTAAGTATTGCTTTCTTAAATGAAAAACCTCTTTAGGATGATGAATGAGTGTCTTATAAGCCCAGTATCTACCACTCATTCCTTGTCCCTCTAATGTGACTTCTAATCATACCTCCAATTATCCCCTCTAATCACACCACTGAAGCTCTAGGATCAGTAGTGATTGTCATGTTATTAAGTCCAGTAGTCTTTCTTTTACTTCAC